TATCCACCGCCCCGTCCAGGATTTGAACTACAAACCCATCGCATGGAAATAGAAAAAGTAAGGCTCAAACAATCATTTTTCGAACATGCAACATGATCCTCGTGTGGCACACGCAACAGGAAAGATCGATGAGTGAGAAAAAGTCGTATTAAACCTACGTTACATGTTGATCATCCGCCACCGTGGGCCAACGGATCAACTTCTTGGATGAACCACGATCCAGTGTTTTTACTACGGAAGACTGAGATCCAGGAATCTGCGGAATGAGATAAGAAAAAAGGGGGAAACAGAAAAGACATCACGGTAAGGATGTTCAGGTTTGAAAATGTCAAACACAGAAATAAGGCAACGATCTAATAGTCCAGAAGTTTTGCGTCAAGTTTAACAAAGCATTCTCAATTGATAGAAAGTTTTCCCCAGATCATTGATGAAGTGGTTACAGTTGAATTGTTAGGAGCAGCAAGTAACTGAAAAAGCTGTCCATTCCAAGTATTCCAAATATAAATGAATTCGACAGCTGAAAAGTTAGTTTTAATCAAATATTATACGCAGTCCAAAGGATGGGTGTAACCAGTATACCCTACCGGATATTTTTACAATTCTGAAATCAGCCAAACATCTAGACAAACGAATCACGTCAGTAACGCTTTCTCACGTGACTGATATCGGATAGGAACCAATAGTTGGATCTGTTTTATTCAAATCTGACGAGTTTCGGAGTAAAAAGTAGCACCGACTAGTCAAATTTGATGGTATTGAATAATTAGCCCACTGGGAGCAGTGGCTGCAAGTACAGCAACAGTCAAGCTAGCGTGTACAAAAAAACGGATGTGTTTCGGTTTAAATTCGAATCAGCAACGATTGCAGATTGCATGTGCTGTTTTGTTTAGATCAAGCGTTTTATCAACATCTGTTAGCGATGAAACCAAGTCGTTTCGGTCTGTTCCAATGGATACGCTTCATCCTCAACATTAAAACAACGGCAAATAATCGAAAGTTCACAAGAAAACAAAATGATAGTCAGACAACAAGTGAGAAGAGCATCGCAACTTCACAAAACAATCGCCACAGAAAACACGTTCATGTTGGAAAGTATGGAAAAGAAATCTGAAACGAATCATCGGAATCTAGCTGAAGAACAACTAGTAAAACAGAGAAATAATCAGGAAGAACCAATGCGGAATGAAAGTGTGGCATCAATAAGATGACCGGTGTATGAATTTTTTTTTAAATTAGAAGAACGGTTTCCGGATGCAATGGAGGGGGAGGAAGCACACTCCTATGTAGATTGGGTAATTTGTCAATAGACAAAATATTCAACCACACACAGAGAGAGCACATTAGACCTTTCCGCTTGCAACAAAGTGATACTGAACTGGCGATTCGGGTAATGCATCATTCCCAATGATCATTTACATATGTCCAGTTTCTTTATCAAGAGGACCAACTAACCACTGACATTTTTTCAAATATGAGGTGGAATTTGGGAATGCAATAATAAAATGGCATATGGCTCAACGATCATTCGTCAACTGCGTTAAGGGGACAGTGCGGTTTTTCATGACTTAACAGTCGATCCTAGAATTTGTACTTCTAACTCTGCATAGTATCCAATATTAATTCCTTTATTTTTTATACACGTCTGACTGTGTGTCAAACAAATCACGGTACATGTCCATGATTGATTCGTGGACACGATACGGCCAGGTTGTCCAGGCCAAGGCAGCTGAATTTTCTTGAGCAATCCACAACCGGAGCCTTCGGCTAGCCAAAGCTTGATCCGCACGGCAACGGGCAACGGGCGGTGTGTGAAAACCGTAATTTATTGTGGGTCGGTGTCGAGTTCATAGGATCATACACCCTTTGGACGGGGTCAAACGTCCAAAGTGCCCAATACACCTCGATACCCAATTGAGCCGCTGACCACTACCACAACCAGGAAGATGCGGGTGGGTGCGGTTCGTACGTCTCTTCTTGATTGGTTTGGAATCAGTGATTTTTGGCAACTCCTCTAAGTGAACAACCAGTGATTTAGCGGCCCGATTATGGTCCCGGATAGGATACCATAGTATAAACTAGTAAAAACATTGATGTACCAACTCATTATCATGTTCCCACCTTGTAACGCTCAATTAAGAAGATGCCGAAAACAGTAGACAAAACGCCTTCTGAGTACTTGAGAGTTTAAGTTTTGCGTTGAATTGATTAAGTGAGACACTGTTTGTCTTCTGATTCTCTCTTTTTCACTATTTTTTTGTGAAAACCATTCAATAAATTTCAGCCTCGATCTAGATAGTGCGTGACGTACGAGGAAGCTGGTCCTTTCCAGGCGGACACGATGTATCGTCTAAATCAACGACCAGAAACAGAATCTCTCAAACTAACAGAAATGTGGCAATTCTCGGGGTGAATTCACACCAGTCGAATAAACTCATACAGAACCACTGGTAACCATTCACCTGAACACTATCACCTCGCAGTTCTTACTTGGCTACGGAAAAATCAGAGATGAGCCTTACCAACGAGAAGAGCAACGACACTAAAATCTCAGGAAACATCATGATCATCCATCAGTCCAGCTCATTTTCTCCAAGGAGCCGGTAGCGTCAAAGTGAAAACTACACCAGAATTTTGCAGGTAATCGCACATATTTTCAGTGAATTACGTATAAGGAGAACAACAGTATG